GCAATGCACACAGACCAATGTATTTCCAATGTTCATTACATTTAAATTTGATATTCATAAGTGACAACTAATGAAAACTCCAAATTTGGTATCTCAAAAAATTAGAATATTCTGAAAAGGCTGAATATAGAAGACACCTGCTGCCACTCTAATCAGCTGATTTACTCAAAACACCTGCAAAGGCCTTTAAAAGGTCCCTCAGTCTTGTTTTGAAGGCACCACAATCATGGGGAAGACTTCTGACTTAACAGCTGTCCAAAAGACAATCATTGACACCTTGCACAAGGAGGGCAAGACACAAAAGGTGATTGCTAAAGAAGCTGGCTGTTCGCAGAGCTCTGTGTCCAAGCACATTAACAGACAGGCGAAGGGACGGAAAAAATGTGGTAGAAAAAAGTGTACAAGCTCTAGGGATAACCGCACCCTGCAGAGAATTGTGACGACAAACCCATTCAAAAATGTGGGGGAGATCCACAAAGAGTGGACTGCAGCTGGAGTCAGCGCTTCAAGAACCACCACGAGGAGACTCATGAAAGACATGGGATTCAGGTGTCGCATTCCGTGTGTCAAGCCACTCTTGAAGAAGAAACAGCGCAAGAAGCGTCTCGCCTGGGCCAAGGACAAAAAGGACTGGACTGATGCTGAGTGGTCCAAAGTTATGTTTTCTGATGAAAGCAAGTTCTGCATTTCCTTTGGAAATCAAGGACCCAGAGTCTGGAGGAAGAGCGGAGAAGCACAGAATCCACGTTGCATGAGGTCCAGTGTAAAGTTTCCACCGTCAGTGATGGTGTGGGGTGCCATGTCATCTGCCGGTGTTGGCCCACTCTGTTTCCTGAGGTCCAGGGTCAATGCAGCCGTCTACCAGGAAGTTTTAGAGCACTTCATGCTTCCTGCTGCTGACCAACTTTATGGGGATGCAGACTTCACCTTTCAACAGGACTTGGCACCTGCACACAGTGCCAAAACCACCAGCACCTGGTTCAAGGACCATGGTATCCCTGTCCTTGATTGGCCAGCAAACTCGCCTGACCTTAACCCCATAGAAAATCTATGGGGTATTGTGAAGCGGAGGATGCAATACGCTAGACCCAACAATGCAGAGGAGCTGAAGACGACTATCAGAGCAACCTGGGCTCTCATAACACCTGAGCAGTGCCACAGACTGATCGAGTCCATGCCACGCCGCATTACTGCAGTTATTGAGGCAAAAGGAGCCCCGACTAAGTATTGAGTGCTATACATGCACATTCTTTTCATGTTCATTCTTTTCAGTTGGCCAACATTAGAGAAACAAACATTTTTTCATTGGCCTTTAGAATATTCTAATTTTCTGAGATACCAGATTTGATGTTTTCATTGGTTGTCACCTATAAATATCAAAATTAAACGTAATAAACATCGGAAATACATTGGTCTGTGTGCATTGCATGAATATAATGTACAAGTTTCACGTTTTGAATGGAATTACTGAAATATTTTCAACCTTTTGATGATATTCTAATTTACTGGCCAGCACCTGTATGCCCTGATGTGGGGGCTGGGGGGTGCGTCGACATGGTCGGGACATAGAAGGGGGTGCGCAGCTAAATAAGTTTGGGAACCGCTGTTTTAGATCATGAAAACAGCTGATTTGTATCTTTAGTGATGAATCACTCCTGTAGAATCTAATAAAGGCCAAGGAGACATTTCAGTTGTTAGATTAAGGTGTTATAATGACGAAAGCACAGCGAGGAGATATGTTTCACTTTTGGTTTAACCACGGATAATTAATAATGGACACTAGGGTGTGCTAAAAGCAAGCAAAACTGCCAAGTGTGGCTTTAAAGTCAAATCATCCCCAAGAATTTATTTGCTGATAATTTATATAAATGCGTGTTTATTCATGCTGTAGACACATGTACTCATTAATATGGCACTTTAGCCCATCTTAGTTAAAGTTTAAATATTCTGCCTAAAACTGTCAGTGCGCCTTCTTCAGGTAAACACCCTGCACTACATTCGAATTTAAATTTGCCATCGCTATTGGCTCAGGGGTATCCTATGAAGTTAGCTGGTACCATATGATGTTCACAATGCCACTGTGAGTCTAGTGTGTGTGTATTTGTTAGCGGCTCCGCCCTCTCAGTCTGCCAGGCAATGTGGCTCATTTTTTTTAAATTATCTTCTAACTCTTACTGCACAAAATGAGTAACAAAAAATACAAATAAACAACTTTGCTTGTTTTTTAATGAATGTTTATGACCAGACATGAGTGATAAATGCCATGATGGATTAAACCACTTCAAAAGCCATATTTGTTCTGTCAGTTTCCATTATTACAAAAGTACCAACAAGGCTGCCAACTGCGATCCGGACAGATATATTGTCTCTGCAGTTTAGTAGGCTTTTATTAGGCTTTAATAAAGGATGATGAGAAGGATAAATGTCCACCAGGCAATTCAGATAGTACGGCTCTTTTTTTAACTGGAAGCAGAGGAAGTGGACGAAGACTCACAACCGGAGTCTGAGGCAAATAGCGAGGATGTTGATGACAATGTGGCAGATCCACAGGTCTGTCTTCGCCCACGTCCGCACGTTCACGCCACGCCCCTTGTCTTCTACTACGTTCGCGTCTCACAACAACACAATAGGCGCACCGCACCATAGGGCGCGGCGTACATTTTGGAGAAAATTTAAGACTTTCAGGTGCGCCTTATGGTCGTGAAAATACGGTAAGAATTCTTTCTTTTCTTTTCTTTTCTTGTCAGTGGCTCTAATCTTCTTCCATACAGAGTAGAAATAAATACATAAAATGTAGAGCACAAAAAGTCTCAATATTACCCCCCCCCCCCCCCCCCCAAAAGGTCGGCAAATTGTCCGCTCCCAACCCCATGACCCCGTCTCACTCTTTGAAATGTTCAAAAGTTGGCAGCCCTGTACCAACGAGTTTGAGAACAACTCAGGATAAATCTTAAGAACTTTAAATGGAATACCTCAAAGGCTCTAGGCATGCTTTAGCTACAGTGTCTGAACTATAGAGGATAAAGAAAGTATTTTCTAAAAGAACAAGAGGTGTCTTTGAATGAGAACAAAATGTACTCATTTAAACAAAATGATTCATCAATCACACTAATGCACAGAAAGAAGCCTTTCCCGGCACAACTGCCACATATTTTCTGTCTTTTCTTTCTCCCAGATGTTCATGAATTAACTTGCCAATTAAAGCCTGTAGTTTTTGCCGTAATCTTTTTAGGTTTTTACCAATATTTTTGGCAGTTTCGACATTTGGGTGAACTTGGTTGAATGGAAATATTTGGGAACATTTGCAGCTGTACTGAAAAACACCCTCACATAGGCAATTTGTATTGAATTAACTTTATAGGCTAATGGAAAAGGAATGATTAATACACTTTTAAAAAATCCGGTTATATTCTTATGCTAATAATGCAGGCTCTGCAGTAAATATTCAGTGGTCACTGAGCGGACTGCTTTGGTTATCGGGGTGGGGATTGTCATCATGGCAACTAAAGCCTATTTCATGCTTCTCCGTCAGCTCCGCAAGGGACAGACACGCACGGATTGACGGAAGCGTTTTGCTCTCATACTTCTCCGTCTGCTGGAGAGTGTTGCAAAGCAATTCCCCTCCAGGACAGCAGAGGGCGTAGCGCTGTTCTGTGGTATCCTGTCGTATCGGTCCAAGATAGTGTGTTTATATTGTGTTTTTTGTATATAAGAGACTTTTTAACACAGACAAATTTGTCTCTCATCCTCCTCTGCCTCTTCATGCGCTCGCCACCTCTAAACCCACATTTCCTGTCATTTCCTTCCACAAATAAAATGCTTGCTAAGCATATTTTCACTCCTCCAGTAACGGGGGAATTAAACGTTCATATTTTTTGAGTTTTTTTCGCAAGGTATTCAAGCTGCTCCGTGTCTGCCGCTAGATATCATCAGCTCTCTTTATGTTTTTGAGGGCGCAATGGCGGCGCTGTCGACAACAGCGGCGTCCTGACCAGTCACAAGCTTGCATTCTCCGTCTCGACGGACGGATGTTTAGAAAAGAGAGCTCGACTCCGTCCATCCTTGTGGAGCTCTCCAGCAGGCCCGCAAGGACGTTGCGTGTGTCCGCACTGACACAGATGGAGAAGCATGAATCAGGCTTTAGTAATGAGGCTAAGAGTGTGTCTCTGTTATTGGTGCATTTGACCCATTTTCAAGCCGACTTTTCTCTTTTTTGGCTGTATTACAGTTTTACTCTTCCCTGTTGGAATGATGGATTCGTTTGAGGAAAACTATTTATTGATTTTTATCATTTTCAGCTGGCTGTGTTTGTGTGTGTTGAACATGTCTCCCATGGCTGGCGTTCCCATCTCTCCTCACCACAGTAAATCCATCTTTCTGGCGCTGTCATCATTAAGAGGCTAAGATCGGTCCCTAAGGCCCAAAAAGAGAAATCCATGCTTCTGTCTGTGTGTGCCTCCATGTTTCAGTCAAATCCATCCTGTTGTGTGTGTGTGTGTGTGTGTGTGTGTGTGTGTGTGTGTGTGTGTGTGTGTGTGTGTGTGTGTGTGTGTGTGTGTGTGTGTGTGTGTGTGTGTATGTGTGTGTGTATGTGTGTGTGTGTGTGTGTGTGTGTGTGTGTGTGTGTGTGTGTGTGTGTGTGTGTGTTTAAATCAAGATCAGACCCCAAGGCCCCCTGTAGCACAAAATCCCATTTGTAACTCTAAGGGAAAATGGGCTGAGTGTGACCTACAACTAACATAGTTTGGGTATTTATATTTTTATTAGACGATGGAAATTCGTGTGATGGTGTCATTTGTGGAAGAACAAGTGTGAAAAGTCAACACAAACGGACTTTATACTAACTAGGGCTGCAACTAACGATTATTTTCATAATCGATTAATCTGTCGATTATTTTTTCGATTAATCGATTAATCGGTTTGTTATTGTTTAGCTATTTAACCTATACAAAAGATGAATACATTTCAGTTAAGAAAAAGAAAAACATAAGAGAATTGTGCAGTTGACTGCAATCTATTTTATTGCACATGAACACAGTCAGCGGTGTAAAATGAGCTAAACAGTGCAAAATATCAGTCCAGAATAATTTTTTGGCATCAAAATATAAGAGGTAAATTCCATAAAAAATAATGTAGAATCTGGAATAGAGTTTGTAAGTGGTATGCATTGCTGGGGGTGAGTGTCTTGTTCCCCATGTAGTTGTCCATCGTTGCTTGTTTTTTTTCTGCATAAGAAACACAAATAAACTGAATTAAGTACACATATAAAATAAAGCAGCACACACACTACAACACTAAATCAATATTACATTATTTGAATTAATTAACAATATACAGTGATCATTTAATTTGACAAAAATGTGTTGTGAGGCGTTTTACGGCGTTAGATAGTAAAACAGCCTTTTAATAGTTAAAAAAAGGACTTTCTGAATTTCTCCTGTATTTAAAAATTGAAAGCGCACAACTATGCCGCGTTATATTCACCTGGACACAGCTCGTCTGTATATTTTTCACCGCGGAGTTGTCCTTTTTTGAATGAGGAACATAGTTATGGGTTTGTGCCGTTTTTCTCTTAACGAGAACATTCTTATAAACAGACGTGCTGAATTTGGCAAGCGCATGATTCACAACACGGAGGAGATTCACGATTGCATCTAGTCAATCAGAAGTAGAACACCGTAAACTGACGCGGCAAAAAAAACATGTTTAACATCCACTATAACGAACTCAGCTAACACTAAGTCCCAAATGTGATCTGCGTTAGCTTGTTTATTTTCTGTTACTTACCGGACATTCCTCTGCTGCATCAGCCCCCACGTTTTCGTCTCAAATGTTCACTTAGGGACGTCGTGCTTCCGTCGTGCCATGGTTTTTGCATATTTTGCAGGTCACCGGTCTTTTCAAGGCATCTAGTGAAGTGCTCCCATACTCGTGAGGTTTTTGTCCGGGGTTTCTCTTGTTTTGTCGCTTCTATTTTTCTTCCGTATTTCTTGTTGATCCGCCATCTCTCACAGCAAGATGAGCGTCAGTAACGTGATACGTCATGAAAACCGAGGGCACTTATTGGCTCATTTCTTCTTCTACGGCTCCACTGGTAGATCAGTGGCTCATTACTGCCACACACTGGCGGCAAATTTAACAGATTGTAACCGATGTCAGATTGTGGTTAAAAATAGACTTTATGCGGTAAAATATGATTATTAAACAACTAATCGATGAGTTGTTAACTATTTTAATAATCGATTATAATCGATTAAATCGATTAGTTGTTTCAGCTCTAATACTAACACATGAACTGTTTGAAGAGGCTACGTTATTTTGGGAGCTGGAACACAGTAAAGAAAAGTACATCACTGTGGAGAAAATTGTTCCCCCTTAATTGCATTTTAAAAAGTTTATGCTCCACCAAACCCAATCAGTGTTAATGTCCCACTGAAACATTTGGTCCATTCTCTTTAAAAGCTTTCTCTCCTGTAAGGTTAACTGTGGAACCAGTCTTATTTCCCACGTACCTCTAGAAATCCTCTTCCAAGAACAGTGTGTGCTACAGAACTTGTGAAAGTTCTTCCTCCCGACCGACTCGCCGAGACTGTATGCTGAGCTGAATTTAATCCTCTGTTAATCTGCGCTGGTCCTGGTTTCTGCAGTGAAACCACAATGTGGCCCCAGAAAGCTACTCTTGTTCCTGGGGAAGGTTCCTAAAGTGGAAACTAAATGAGTAGTATCTGGTAGTGATGTAATACCATAGCAATGCATCCATCTGTACTAATTGGTAGGAGAGAATTTAAATACCCTCAGCACCACTATAATGTTGTCAGGGTAGAAACTGTTGTCAGTCTTCAACCTTCCTAACAGATAAGTGACAATTCTATCATCTCTCTCTCCTTAGGCAGATTTTCAACACGTTCAATTAGCAAATCACCATCCCTGGGTTTCTGTCTGCATGTCTGGGCTGTAAAAAAAGCCAAATAGTGCAAGTGTTTAAGTAAGATTTGGTATTTGCAGATAGCAAGGAGGTCGCGGGTTGTAGAGGGCGACACTGTCCTCTGCTGCCCGCGGATAAACGGAAGTGACGCCACCAATGCTGGCGATCTCCGATGATGGCTAGAGTCATTAGCTGAAATATGTGAGGTAAAAAGTCATTTTTTTACTAAGCTTTGTAAAAATAAGAACAAAGTAATGGATTATGTCTCGACCCATTTCAACATCTGCAATATATAAATGTTGGTAGTGGTAATGCACCATGTCATTGTGCGGCAAACCACAGAAAAACACTATTATATTATATTATATTATATTATATTATATTTTATTATGCACATTTTGCATGGCTCCTGGGCCATTTTGAACCGCAACAAAAAAAAAAGGGTACAAAAGGTTATAAACTCTTTAACTAAAAGACCATCTAAAGGCGCTGGAACACTTCACAGGTGTTTTGGATTCATTAGCTGATTAGAGAGTGATGCTTTGAATCTAGAATATTGAACCATCCATCCATTTTCTTCTGCTTATCCGGAGTCGGGTCACGGGGGCAGTAGCCTAAGTCGAGAGACCCAGACTTCCCTTTCACCAGCCACTTGGGCAAGCTCTTCCGGGGGAATCCCAAGGCGTTCCCTGGCCAGGTGAGAGACATAGTCCCTCCGTGTCCTGGGTCTACCTTTAGGCCTCCTCCCGGTTGGATGTGGCCAGAAAACCTCACCAGGGAGGCATCCAGCTGGCATCCTGACCAGATGCTCGAGCCACCTCAATTGGCTCCTCTGGATGTGGAGGAGCAGCGAATCTACTCCAAGCCCCTCCCTGATGACTGAGCTTCTCACCCTATCTCTAAGGGAGAGCCCAGCCACCCTGCAGAGAAAACTCGTTTAGGCCGCTTGTATCCGTGATCTCGTTCTTTCGGCCACTACCCAAAGCTCATGACCATAGGTGAGGGTAGGAACGTAGATCGACCGGTAAATCCAGAGCTTTGCCCTCTGGCTCAGCTCTCTCTTCACCACAACAGACTGGTACAACGCCCGCATTACTGCAGATGGAGCAATCCCCCTATCGATCTCACGCTCCATCTTTCCCTCACTCATGAACAAGACCCTGAGATACTTAAACTCCTCCACTTGGGGCAGGACCTCGTCCCTGAACATGTCTCTCATGTCTCACATATTGAACCGTTTCACAATAATCTGATTCTGTAAGATTTTGTATTTGGAGTTTTCGAAAGTTGTGATTTCTTAGAATAAATATCCATTCATCTTGACAATACTGCTGAATAATTTAGTGGCTCAAACTTTCATTACATCACCATTCACTCAGCAACTTCTGCTTTGGCTGCGTCTTTAACCGTGGCTGTTGTCATCGAGGAATAATTACTACCTTATTCCACATACAGATCACCATGCAGACCGTGTAAACATCACTATCAACACTCTTGCACTTTGTGATTGAGACCCTGTTGCCAGGCAACAGCAGCCTGTATTATAGTGTCTGCATATATAGGATTAGACTGTGCTAAGCTTTTCAAAACAAAACCTTCGCTCTGTTTTTGGGGAATTTGATAATTTATTTGGTGTTAAAACCAATCCTTGTCTGGGTAAGGATTGGGGTCATGGATAAAATAATTAATCTAGCTGTATGTTGTTGTTTTTTTTTTACATTGAAGTGATTGGTTAGTGTACCTGTTCATAGTGTATAAAAGTCCACTTATGCAGTGTCATTGCTAAGTGTTGATTAATTTGTACCCAGAAATCTATAATATTAAACATTTGTCTCCCATCGGTGTTGTGTAGTACTTGTTTCTGTTTGACATTTACAGCTCAGACCTCATGTCAGTCCCTGCAAACAAAATGACATGATTTTGTTTATTTTATAATACATTTATTAGTTAAATTTGATTAGATTAACTTTGTTTCTAATTTGAGCTAATCAAAAAATATCTCATCACCTTTAAACAAGCAAGTGTGTTGCATTGGTGTTTTATTTAAATATAGTTCAATTATTTCAGAAGCTTGAATTATTTATCGTTGTCCAATTTGTGTTTTTCATTATAATTCATGACCTCATTATGAAATAATGTCATTTTCATTAAAGATATGATAACGACTTCTTATTTTGATTTATTCAGATCTAGGTGAGCAAACGTTTTGGGATTATAAGGACATTTGCACCGATCATCTCATATGTCACCATTTTAGAAGCAACATCAGCATACAAACCGTATTACCTTTCATGCAGGTCAGAAAGCGGAAGTTTTTGAAGTTGAGGAAAGTTGACTTTAAAAGGAATTTTTATTGTCCGGCCACCACTCCCATGACAAACGTCTACCTCCTGAAACAGGAACACCAGAGCTTTTTTTCTGGAAAAAAAGGACTCCCAAAGCTTTTATTCATAATACAGACCACAGCAAGTGTATTGAAAAACAAAAACAAGTGAATGACTTTTAAAACATCTGACAGAACACCATACATAGTGCAGCATACATGCAGTTTATGCGCATTCATGCACATGCAAGTTCATCTAAACCTCTGCTACATTCGAAAGAGCCGTCAGCTCAGCATACGGACAGCAACACAAGAAAAATTAAGTAATTTCATGAAATATTTAATAACTGAGTGGCTACATATTCATTGATATGTTTTGACAGTTGATGGACCATCCACAAAAATGCACTGATGCATGTTTATTCCAACTTTTATCTTACCACCTATTTCTGATTTATTTTATTTTTTTTTTTGAAAATAAAGCTTTAAAATATATCAATTTGACAAGCCCGGGTGTCATATGGTCATTAGAAAAGTGCATGACAATCTGACTTGTGAAATGGCCCTTCAGGGTGTCCTACATTTGTTCTAAACCAGGGGTGTCAAACTCATTTTAGCTCAGGAGCCACATTGAGGGAAATCTAGTCCCAAGTGGGCTGGACCGGTAAATTAAAAAAAACTTCAGATTGTTTTTTTTGTTTTAATACAATCAATATAAAACAAAGCTGGAGCCTGAGGACAGTGTATCCAAAATAGTACAAGTACAACACCTGAAGTGTACTTGAAAATTTGAAAAAATAATAATAATAATAAATAAATAATAAACATTCCTTGGTGATTCAAAGAGCTTACAGATCACATGGCAAGATCAGTTTCATGCAGCACTTAAAGTATATTTGACTCATTTTACTTTACATCTTTTAGCTTTCACCAGCACATCAACATCAGAAGTCACATCCTGAGTGGCGGCCAACTTCAGGATGTGATTCAAGTTCTTGTGTGGGCCTTGAGCGCAGCTTTGTTGCATTTATACTCATTGCAGAGGAAACTTGCTCACAAAGATAAGTTTATTTTCACTCTACATTGTAAAGTATGAAAATAAAGTTTACACAACCATCTCGTGGGCCGGATTTAACCCGTTTGCGCATGTCTGACACCCCTGTTCTAAACGAAGTGTATGATGATCTGAAAGGTAAACTGGCCCATCAGGGTGTCATACTTTTATTAAGAACAAAGTGTATGATGACCTGACAGATAAAATTAGCACATTAAAGCAAGGCAGCCTAATTTAGATTGCACATTTCATACACAAAGGCAATTCGATATGCTTTCAATTAGCAAGTATAGCAAGAACATTAAAAGTCAACATGACAAAAAGTACACAAAAATTAAAATTTGATTTAAAAATTAAAGGAAAAAGACAAAGTTATTGGGTACATCAGGATGTCATGAGGTTGTTCTTAAAGTGTATGATGATCTGGCAGGTAAACTGGCCCATCAAAGTGTCATTCAACTTAAAAATTATAATCTGACAGTGTATGCCTGTCTGACAGACCATAGATCATAATGTATGGTGATTGGACAAAACACTGGCTAAGTACTGCATTCTTATTGTGTTTGTGGCTAAAAACCAAAACTAAATTATTACATGTCATATTACCTTTTTTCTACAGAATAATACAAGTTGGTATGACATAAATATGTAACTTCTTTGTAGTGTATATGATTACATAATGCAATCCTGTCGGAGATAGTTGGGGGATGGGAGAGAGTGGTGTTAGTACTTTATATCGTAAAAGCAGTGACTCGTCTAATCCCTCATGTTAAGCTGCACAGCAGAGATCAAAGCACCACATGTCTTAACTTCTGGATTTTGTGACAGCCAACTTCACAAGTGACAAAAATGAAAGTTAAATGAATTCTTTAGGAAAACAGATGTCAAAGTATGACCTCTAAAAATAGTCTGAAAAGTGAGAATATATTCTTGACCTTTTGTCTTAGATTGTCTATGTGTGACTAGGCATTGATATCAGTTTAAAGTTAATCCAAATGATGCTAACTATTAGCATTATTAGCGTTAGCGACTCCGCCACACAGCAGAACTCATCCAGGCTTCCGGCTGAATTGTACTTCCTGGAACAAGCACATCTGAGCTTTTTCCCCAGAGTACAACTGACAAGGCATTCATTCTACTAGAGTCCACTGCAAAAGTATTGGTTTAAATGTGTCCCACCCTAAATTTATTGAAAATTTCTCCTGCTCTAGTTTGAAAGTTTGCTGAGTGTTTAGTTGTACACAGCTGAGTGGAAAGGGAGGAACTGTTCCAACATTGAAATTTATTCACACCCTCATTTGCAAAAAGCTGATTATTTGTTTATGGAAAGCAAATGATTCCGTTTTGCTTTTGTGTGTTTTGAAGATTTTAAAGTCAGTTAGGGAATATTTGTATTTTCACTTTTGTCCGGAGCTGACAGCTCTGCAGCAGCAAACATGCATTCCTTCACAAGCTCTCG